GTGATACTTTGTTTTGCAATGCCACCCAGTGGAAGCAATTTAGTATTTCATATACACTTATCTACTAGTGGAAGAGATTACATTAATTTATTTTCTAATATCAGCATTCAAAGATCCTTCTAACCCTGCATTAATTCTTTTTCGTTTAATATTGACAAATTTTTTTTATTGTTAATAGCAGCAGCGTCTCATTGCTGTTGTTGAGTAAAAGTACAAAGCTTGTTTATTCTACTGCAGTATGTTAACAGACTAAACACAAAAATTTACTGTTTACTAAACACAAAAATTTACTGTTTACTAAACACATAGCTTGCTGAAAACAAGCACAGGCTGACAGATACCACCTAATGAAGTATTTTTGCCTGATCAAATTACTGTGTGAAAAGTAAATTGGATCTATCACACACTAAACTGAACAAATAAATTGAACAAGATCCAGAAACTAGCAAGGCACTTGTGAAAAGTATCACTATAGCAATGCCTTGATTTATAAGATGACTTGTGCCAGCTGCAAGAACCATTTTCTTTAACACTAATTACAAGGCAAAACTTGACTCTACTTTATCTTTTTCTTTCTCAAGATATTAAAGTACAACCCAAGAACAGATATACAAGTGCCTGAGACCTAAACCTAGATTTATGAACTACAGCTGTAAATGTCTGAAAAAGCCACAGGGCACAGTTTCTTAGTATTTCCCATACATCACTTTAAAGACTTTTTTCTATATTTAATTTTTGAAATGGAAAACACAAATGGAAATCTCTGTAAATGTTTGAAACATATCAGTGCCTTTGGCTCCATAAAGAGACAAAAATGCATGTTTTCCATGTAGCATTACTAATGGGCAACTACTTTTCACTAAAGTACAGTGAACGGGCAACTACTTTTCACTGAAGTACAGATCTTCTTGTCTAAACAGGCTACAAATAGGGCAATAATTTATTAACACCATGACCGAAAGTTTAGATTAACTAGGACAGAATGGGTAGGAGTAAGGAAGAAATAAAAGAACATGGAAATCAGAGTATTTAAAAAGGAATATAAGATTATCAGAATTTCACCATTCTTCTTCACTGTGACCATACATTTAAGAAATTCACTAGAAAATTCCCCTCTACCACAGATGTAATAAATAAATAAATGTTTTACATTTCTTTCTGCTTCAGCTGCACATCTGACCACAGCAAATTCCTGGCAACAACATTTTGACAGTTAAAGGCAAATCAGAACCAAACAGTTTTACACTATGGTCAGGAAATGAAGCTCATTGCAGTCCACACGAGCAGGACAACAAGTTGCCTTGCAATGCCATGTGCTGCTCCGGTAGTATAAACCTGCATCAATTCGATGTGTCAAGTTTTTTTGGTCATTTTGTTTCATAGCTACCAGCGGAATTCATAAAAATTGGTAAATAGAAAAACATAGATGAAAATATTGACAAAGAAGATTAATATTCTAATGCTTAATACCCAAGTTTGTAATAACACTGCATAAATATTTCAACTACAGCTGAGGTAACTCAGTTCCACTTAAGAATGAGTACCTAGTTCTATTTATTGTCACATATTCCAAGTACTATAAACCCTACATGTTCATCTTACTGCCATGATATTTGGGATGCCACACGGGCCGAACTCCGAATCCCAGGTCATTTGACAAGCACTCCTGAAATAGTTTCCTGGAAAACAAACAAAAAAATCAACAGCCTTTGTACATTAATCTTCCAGATTCTACTACCACACTTTTGCACACAGTTGTGAATTACATCACAAGTTAGCCATGCTGACAGCGTTCCTAAACATTTGACACTTTTTTCCAGCTACTGTACTTTACTCACTCCCACCTTGAGGAAATAAAATCAAACTCTTCACTCAGTTCCAAATACTAATTTAATAATCCACAAACTACCAAGTTTTTCATTACATTCCTGAGACTTTTAATCTGCTCACAAATGTGCTGGAAACCAGAAGTCCACAGCCTTCTCACACAGTATTAATTTCTTCTCCCGTGCAGTAATTTGAAAAAGCCATGGCCTACACACCATCCATGGTCTCTACAACTCAACCCATTATTCCTGTGAAATATAAATGTCAAATTATGGAAGGATGCCCTCAGTCTAACCCATACGTAGACCACTGACACCAGCAAATTAAAAGTTCAGGTACAGAACATTTCTGTACTGTGAGGAAACTGCCTCAAAGTAAGCAGAAGAAAATCAGCAAGGAGAGTAAGTGTGCCGGTTCTGGCTGGGGTAGAGCTAATTTTCTTCACAGTAGCTGGCATGGGGCTGTGATTTGGATTTGTGCTGGAAACAGTGTTGGTAACTCAGGGATATTTTCATTACTGCTGAGCAGCGCTTACCCAGAGTCAAGGCCTTTTCCTGCTTCTCACCCCACCCCACCAGCAAGGAGGCTGGGGGGGCACAAGAATTTGGGAGGGGGCACAGCTGGGACAGCTGACCCCGACTGACCCAAGGGATATCTCACACCATATGATATTCATGCTCAGCATATAAGGCAGGGGGCGATGTCCGGAGTGATAGTGTTTGTCTTCCCAAGTCACCATTATGCGTGATGGAGCCCTGCTTTCCTGGAGATGGCTGAACACCTGCCTGCCCGTGGGAAGTGGTGAATGAATTCCTTGCTTTGCTTTGCTTCAGTGCGTGGCTTTTGCTTTCCCTGTTAAACTGTCTTTATCTCAGCCCAGAAGTTTTCTTGCTTTTACCCTTCCGATTCCCTACCCCATCCCACCGTGGGTGGGGAGTGAGAGAGCGGCTGCATGGGGCTCAGTTGCCAGCTGGGGTTAAACCACAAGAGTGAGCCAGCTGTATGGCTTAAGAGCAGGCTGAAATACAGACAAACAAAACATCTAGAAAACAGATATAGGGCCTGGTTTGGTTTATATTTTAGGTTAGTAATTTTAAAAAACAAACAACAAAAAAAAAGTATTTCTACTCTCCAGTGGACTATTTTATATATATATGTATATACACACACACATGCAGAACAGAGTGACTTGGTATTAATGATTTAATAGGACAGCCAAATAAATTTCACTGAAATGAGTCAGGCGCTCTGTGTGGTGGGAAGTGGAGAAAGAAAAGAACACAGGCATACATACCCATCTTCTATCACACAAGTTACTGTAACTATTACCTAAAGTACCTGAACGGACAAGAACTGACTAGATCCACCTCTCTCTCCTTCAGTTACTCCATCATTCAAATATTTTAACAAAAATCTGCAATCCTCATCTATTTAGAATAGGTGCACAACTGACTATCCAAGAACCACATAGTTTGTTTGACCATAAGGAGAACATCAAATAAAGAACAAACCAAGAGACTGTACCTTTGCTATGCTAACTGTTGCCATCTTTGACTCGCCTGTAGTACGCTCCTCACACACATACGGTCCCTTACGTTTGGACTGTCTTTTAAAAGGCAACACCTACATCAATCTTACAGTAAAAATGCCAAACTACGTAAACAAAAAATGTTACTCGTTAGATTTCCCAGATCTATCACTGATGCATATACAGTATCACCTAATTTATTCACTCATCCTTCAATATGCAATGCATATCCAGATAACAGATAACTTTGTAGACAGGTATTCTGTTCTGTAAATATACAGTAGCAGAGATCAGTCCATCCAAATTGTCTATTACTGTCCCAGCTTTATAAGAAAAGGAAACTAATTCATGCACCTTACAAAAGACCTAAATTTCACAAATCAATAAAGCTAGAATGCTGAGAGATTTCAGGGGGCAGGGCCAAGGTTGGAGGCATGCAGCCAACATGACTTTGTGTTCATGTTCTTCTCAGTCAATTGAAAACTGGATGAAATCATCCGTTAATGGACTGGTACCTCAAATGCTAATAACGCTTAACAGAAAAATCAGAGCACGGAATGAATAGCCTGAAGATCCACCTCTGATCTGGGGGCAGAGTAAGAATGAAAAGCAGTTAATTGGCTCAGGTTTGTAGAAGATATTAACTTTATATGCAGTTCTCTAAATCGCATGTACACATGTACTTCACTCAGCGGGGCATCTGGCCCCACCGCGCGTGCACCAGCCAAGACCAGACCTAGCACGCAGATTTTCTTACCCATTTGGAAACTAAGTCTAAACCCCAGGGCAGCCAGCTGCAAACGAACGCTCTGCCAACAGCCGGAGGCCTTGGTCCACCCTGAAGCCGCGTGAGGCTGCGGGAGGGGCACGGGACGGGCAATGACAACTTTGCATCCAATCCCAACGACAAAAATCGAGGCGAGACGCCGAGTCT